AAGGTGAGTGGAAAGAGTTCACATTTCATATTTAGCCCTAAAAGCCTGATCAGTTCTACACATGTAGGTGCTGTAAAGTCATAGAAAATTCACTTCAGGTCATGAAAAAGTTATGGAAAAGTTTTGAAATTATGTCAGTAAAAAAGACATGTAAATCCTTTATTATCATTCTACGTGTCCAGAGCTCAAAATGTTCTGTTTTCAAATGAACAATGACTTTCAGTTCAGTAGAGTTTGGCAATTCCAGGGCTGAAATCATCCAGATGATTCTAGTGAAGGTGTGTGGAGTTTAAAAACACAGTGGAGCACTTCCTGTGTTACTGCATGACATCACAAGTTGGAACAGAGTGTTTTCTGTTTGAGAGAAGAATTCACAAATTTGTCAAGTGAAAAACAACTTTGTGACGTCATGAGGTAGTACAGGAAGTGCTCCACTGTGTTTTTAAACTCCACACACCTTCAGAATCGTTCAGGGTCGGACTGGGACCAAAATTCAGCCCAGGCATTTTTCCTCTGGACGTTCAGTTCTGTAGTTCCCCATTTCGCACATGATGCACAGCGTGTAGTGCAGCATCGCGAGCTGGGGGGGTAAAGGCTCAGAAATGTGCGTTTTAAGTTGCTTTTCTTTACAAAAACACTGAGTTTTAATAAATTACACACAAAACAGTAAAAAGAACAAAATAAAAATGTAAACAACATGTCAGGATCTTGAAGCTGGAGCACCTGCACAAGAGACAATCAACTTAACCACCTTGAGAACAGAGTGTCTAGAAGCTGTGAGGTAATACATATTTCGACTATTTTAGCAGAAATTATGTGATTATTTTCTGATTTTTAATAATACTTGACAAAATTAAAATACTGTATCGACCTATAAACTTGGCCGCAATACTTTATGGGAAGATGTTCTTTGGGGTTTAGTGTCAGGAATCATTTTCAGTAACGATGAGTGAGGCGTGACGTGTTCGAGACATAATCCTGCCCTGTTTATTTTTTTAAATGGTGCTAAGTAAAGCCAAAATACTAGTGAAACTGTTTCCACATATTCTTCATTTAACGTCACAATAAATATGAAACTTTTTTTCACGGTTTTGGCTTCTTGGAGCCTGGAATCAGTGGATAAAAAGGTAAAAGGAGCTGGTAACTTGTAAACTACGGCTTCACGACATCACGAGGTGGAACAGAGCGTTTTAAGCTTTGTAGATGTAGACAGATTAATAATAAAGTGTTACTCAGACACGTGTAAATGAAACAAAACACCACTCCAGATATGTTTTGTTGACTTAAAGCTCACAAGAGTCAGTTTTTCGTAATCTAGGACCTTTAATTACTCCTGGTTGTTTAGTGCGTTAATTAAGCAGTTACTAAACCTGAATCGTTCCTAATAAACAATTGTGAATTAAGTCTGTGTTAAGGCTAATTAAGGTACAGTCGTTAGAAAGTGTTATCTCTGTGGAAATAGTAAATATAAGTGATCTCTCTCCACCTCTGCTCCGTGTTAAACCTCTGTCACCACGGCGACGGATAGCACTAGGTGGGAGGTGATTGAGAACGGGGGTTTGGACATGTCTGGTCCTTTTTATCGGCATCGTTAAACCGGACAAATCACGGCCCGGATCGACCCGAGGAACCGGGCGGCTAATGTGGGCCCCCGTCCTGTCAGGGGGCGCACCTGCCGACAGCGCGTTTATGTGTTTGTGCGGAGGCAGAGGCGCGAGCTGCGTCCTCCGCTCTGCTCCATCATTCACGCGCCGCCACGCTCCAGCTGTCCATCAGAATCAATACAGGACGAAGATTTAACGCTTCTCTGGCGCCGCGCTCACCCGGATACGACCAGGTGGTTAAGAGAGCCGTGTTTTTCTGCAACAAGTCAGATAATAATGAAAAATTATAACGCGTTTGTTTAATTAAAGATCCCATATTATGCAAAATTGAGGTTTAAATCATGTTATAATCCTCGAAAACAGACCTGGAGTTGTGTTTTGTTTCATTCCCACTTGTTTGAGTAACACTTTTTTATTAGTCTGTCTACATCTCCAAAGCTCAAAATGCTCTGTCCCACCTTGTGATGTCATGAAGCTGTAGTTTTCAAGTTAACTGCGACGTTTTACCTTTTGTTCTGTTAGAGATCGGCAATTCCAGGGCTGAAATTATCCAAATGATTCTAGTAATAAATAATAAAATCTTAATTTAGAAAGCACAAGGTTTACAAAGTGCGGTACAAGCCACAAAGAACAATAAAAATAGCAAACAAAATCAGACAAAGGAATAAAATCGAGCTAAAACAAGTTAAAGGAAGGCCTGATAAAAATTTGTTTTAAGAAGTGATTAAGGGCCTTTTTACACGAGTACGCTTGAGGGTAAAAATGACAAAATAATTTTATCAGAAGTGCATTTAGTTTAGACGGTGATGGTGTTTTTGGGGCTTAAAAACGCAAAAATCTGAAACCACCCTCCAGCGTGGAAAAGTTGAATAGTCTCCACCGTAGTAGCGTTTCCGTCTACGCTGCCCAAGACGCAAAACTCTGGTCAGATCTGCTCACGTCACGCATGCGTTTACGTCACACACATCACCACCGAGCCGCCTGGCGTGCATACACAATCGAATTCTACACACTTTTGCGTCACCGTTTGCACGCAGATTTCCTCATCTAAACGCGGAATAAAAAGTGAAGACGCGACGCCACTTTTGCCTCTTCTGTTCAGACCGACATCATATAGTCTTTGTTTAGTTTAATTGATCACATTCACACAGTTACTTTAAATTCATTTTTGTTTAAACTTACCACCTTCACCTGTGACTCCACATGGTCTGGGAACAAAGAGGAGGCGTGTCTTTCGGCGGCCGTATTTATAGGTTCAGGGGGGAGGTGTTGGCCCAGACCATGTGGAGGGAAGCCTCAGAATTGGTTCTTTTTGTTTTATCAAATTGGTTTTCAGAATTTTGGTTTTAGTGTTTCTAGTTGAGTTGGAGCACTGTTTGGTTTAAAGGGGGATTTAGGCCTCGTACGATAAACAAAGGCAGCACACCAGAAAAACGAGGAAGATGCAAGAATTTTACCTGCGAGTTGGTGTAAACCTATGGGGAGGGACTTCCTCTCTGGGCTGTGTAAAAGCAGAGGCAGTGTAATCAGTTACAGGTTCACCATCAGTGCAGCCGGGTGCACGTGGGGGATTTTCTTTTGTTTCGTTACTTTCTGTTGCTTTTGCTTGAGTGAAGCACAGTTATTTTTGTAAATATGTCATTTAATTTTGCCCACTACTCGGTGAAGGATGTAATAAATCATTTTTGGTAACGGGACATTGTTTCATCCGACTCCTACTTCGACAACTTGGGCCAGCTTCCCCACATAAACGTAGCCTTAAAAGATGATCCTGATGGTGCGAGTCTCATCTGCTCAGGCAGGTCGTTCCAAAGCCGAGGTGCCCGGACCCGAAAAGCCTCGATCGCTCTTTGTCCGAGGCTTGGACTTTGGAACAGCCACAAGGACCTGCCTGAGGATCTAAAGCTGCGGGAGGCTCGTACAGGGTTAAAAGTTCTGAAATGTAACTTAGTGTAAAACCTAAACGAGCTTTAAAAATGATCCGTAAACTCTTAAAATGTATTCTAAAACACACAGGCAGCCAGTGAAGGGAAACTAAAACAGATGTTGATGTCTGTTAAACCCAGTGAGGAACCCAGCTGCTGCGTTCTGAACCAGTTCGAGGCAGGAGGTGGATTTGGAGTCAGAACCGGAGAGGAGGGAGCTGCAATCGTCTAGACCAGTGTTTCCCAATTTTTTTATTTTAAAAGTCACAAACCTTTGCGACCCAAGTCAATAAACATTATCCGTAAATCACAAAATAAAGACAGATTTGACCATTATTGAACATTAATGATGATATTTCTTTGTTGACTGAGCGATCGTGTCTCTCTGAACAGTTAGTTTAGTCGTTTAGATTAGTAAGTTTTAAAGAATTAAAAACAATAATTGAACCAGCAATAAAAGAAATCCGTAAGTCGCCTATTTGGACGTTAAATATCGTGACAAGGCGACCCCAAAAAAAATCTCTTCTTTGGGAAACACCGGTCTAGACGGGAGAAGATAGTGAAGTTTTATGGAGTTTAAAAACATTGTGGCGCACTTCCTGTATTACCACATGACATCACAAGGTAGAAGAGAGCGTTTTCAGTTTGAGAACCGACCTCTAAGATCTAAGAAACTCTTAAGAAGACGCGTAAATCTGCAGGGTTTGTGCGTTTAAACGTGTGTGAATGAAACAAAACACAACTCCAGGTCTGTTTGTGATGAGGAAACAACATTATAACATAGATAATCTTCTTATACTCTATGTTATTGTCCATTTTTAGACCAGATGCCCTCCCTGACACAGACCCACCTCATTTTATCCAAGGTCGGGGTCCGCCTAAAGAATACATTAGCCCGTCGTCAGTAAAGATGCAGTCATTTAAACCCACGTGGAGTTATTTATGGTGTTTTGATTGCGCTGAAACTGTCTCCTTTTCCAATATAGACACATTCTCCGTCTTTGTGGAGAGAAAAACCTACCTTGCCTGTAATATTATGTATTTAAATTGCCCATTAGGAGTTGGAGCTGGGAGCTGTTTGTAGTCCTGCCAATGCGTTTTTCTTTGAATCTTACTTGAAAGCTTATATCTCATCTTCTTTTCGCTTCTGATAGCTTTATTTATGTGTGTTTACCTCTATACCCGGCTCAAATTGTTTAGTTTTAGAGATAGTCCAATGTCCAGGCAATTTACACAGAAGATGCAGCTCTAGCACGGGGGGTTTTATAGAAGAATATGAGGTAATTTTTCTTTTTTTTGTGCGTGTGTGTGTGTTTTCATGGGGACAGGTGATGAGATTCGTGCAGGAGTGGTGCGGACTGACAGCCATGAAGCAGAAGCTCTTGCGTCGCAGCGGGACCCTCTTCCATTCGCCCGCTTTGGGACTACAACAGCTAGCCAGCAGCCAACGCCCGCACTCCAGCACCAAGAGGTCAGAGGTCAAACACGCCGCGTCGAATGGGGCGAAAATGTACACGCCGCTACGAGCATTTTAATACACTGGAAGTTGAGCTAAACACAAAAACTAGTGTCCAAAATCCATAAATCGCTGTTTTCTGATCTATGTTATAATGTTGTTTTCTCGTCACAAACAGACCTGGAGTTGTGTTTTGTTTCATTCACACATGTTTAAACACACAAATCCTGCGTATTTAGATCTTCTCTCAAGCAGAAAACACTGTGCTCCATACAGAAAGTGCTCCACCGTGTGTTTTTAAACTCCACACACCTTCACTAGAGTCAGTCGGATGATTTTAGCCCTGCCAGTTGCCAATCTCTGCTGAACTAAAGGTAAAAGTTTGCTGAAAACTACTTCCACTTCATGACATCACAAGGTGGAACAGACCATTTTGAGCTTTGAGGATGTAGACTGACAAAAGGTTATCTGGATTATAAAGCGCAACAGATTACCGTATTTTCCGCACTATTAGTCGCTCTGGATTATAAGGCGCACTGTCATTAAATGGTCTATTTTCGAACTTTTTTCACAAATAAACCGTAAAAGGACTTTAAAGGAAACACAACAGTGTGATGGGTGAGTGGTTTTGTTTGTTTGTGGCGTTCACGGTGACTCTGGGCTTTGTTCAGTTGTGGCGTGTAGGGAGGTGCTGTCTGGGGTCGCTGGATTGTCGGCGTGTTCGCGGTGACTCAGTTGTTCAGTCGTGTCTAGAAGCGGCACGTTGCGCTCGCTTTTTCGGTTCGTTCCTCCGTTCTGTTCCTCGTCGGCGTGGAGTGTTTTTCGCCGCGCGGTCGCTGTCCGCTCCGTGCGTGTTTGCGGCTTTGTAGTTTACTGAAGTCGTACTGGGACACCCGAGTGGATTCGTGTATGGGGCGTTTTTTGATGTGGTTGGAGGTTTAAGAGTGCGCCTAACAGTACGGAAAATATGATATAAGGCGCAATATCAATAATGCTGAATTTTCTCGACTCTTTTCATACATAAGATGCACCGTATTATAAGGAGCATTAAGCAAAACAAATGGAAGACACTTGAGACTGATCTCTAGTCCAGGCGTCCACAATCCATCGGCAGATCGTGGTGTAATTCGCCCGGCGTTTCCTCCCTGTCTTGGTGAATGTGTGTCATGAATGTGAATGCGGGTGGATCATTTAAGTTAGGACGACTCAAATATACAATGAGTAATAATGTGTTTAATGCAGCTTTGCGCACATTTGTTTACGTTTTACCAAAATAAAACTTAACATAAGTTTTGGAGTCTCATCCATGGAGGGAAAGCGAGGTTAGCGAGTTCGTTCATATTTAGGGGGATCGCTTTATTCAGGTCAAATTGGAGGGGAGTATTATCAGAACGGTTTTTGAAATGATTGTCAAGGAAATGTCCCACTGCGGCTCCGATGTCAACAAAAAATAAAGAGCCTACGGGCCAAATACAAGGAGGCTAAAGTCTAAAACAAACGAAGCTGCAGCAGATGTATAACCTGTCCATTTTATAGGGATGTAACAATATCCAAATCTCACGGTACGATATTGTCACGATATGCATCTCACGGTACGATATTTATTGCGATACTTTGCAGAGGCTGATATAATTGTAGATGGGACACTTTTTTGCTTTTAAAATACCTTGACAAGATTGTGGTGTGAATTATTTCCGTCATAATCCCAATAATTCAAGTATAAAACATATTTCTTCATGTTGTTTGCGCTGAAATGAATCATGGGATATGTAGTCCCCGATGTTTATAAGCTGTTGCTGCTATAAAACGATGCGTTTAAGCAAAGGAACTTGTGATTCGATATATTGTGACAGCCCACGATATTATTGTGAGACTTTTGACGATACGATATCACCATATTTCATTTTCCTTATTGTTCGATCCCTACTATTTTACGGAGAACTGGACCGTATTTTTGGAGACAAGCCCAGCGTTTAGTTCTGATGTCGTCATGTCCTCCAGTGCTCGACACTTTTGGGGCGTTTAAAGTTCACTCTGGAGATCACATGCAAGTCACATTTAGTTGTAAATGTGGACAAGCTCACAAAAAAATCTGAATTAATCCCTGCAGTCTGAACGTAGCCTAAGGGAAAACTGGCAAACGCTACTGAGCTTGTGACTAATTTTATGTGTGAGAGACTTGTTTAACCACACAAATCAAGTGTTGTAGCTCCGGCCAAGTTAGTTCTTTCTCGTCAGATTGTGTTAAAACCAAGCTCGGAGGAAAATCTAACTTGCGTGACGGCGCTTCAGACAGAGCAGTGCCTCCAGCTGGGAATGTTGACGCTGCAAAGGACCAATTATCGTGATTTTACAGGGACACGCGAATCTGAAATAAGGCTGAAGTTTACTCGTTTAAAATCCTCTCACACTTCTGCCGATAATGCACAGCAGCTTGTCCGGGTCTGATCTGCGTTGGTTGCCGTGGAGACGAGTGGCAGAGGTTAAACGTGAGTGTGCGGGGAGAGACTGGAAATGTTTAGGATTTATTTAAAAACTCAACCGCTTTGAACGTTGGATTTGAAATAATTTAAAAGCTCAAGACGTAGTTTGCGTTCGGCGTACGACCTAAAAGATTCCATCTCAAAAAATGTAAATATCTTGAAAAAGTTCTATGTTTTTTGTCCTTTCATTAAAATAGTATTGGCCTACTTCAAAATAATACATAAAAATAAAAATATATACTTGAAGGTGACATCATCAACGCTCCTCTGAACCCTGTAGAGTAGCTCAGGGTTCAGCGTTGGGTCAACAAATGTTTAAAATGGAAAGTCCCTGATAATGAAATATATTTTTTTTTTGTAGTGGACTAGTGCACTGTGGAACATTTCAGTGCAAAGTAAAAACTATGGAGTAAGAAAGCTGTCAAAAATATTTGTGCGCATAAAATAGAAATCCGTGCGTATTTGGCTTTTATATTATATTACCTTAACCTGTTTCATACAAGATACATGTTCAGTGTAAGTGAGACTGAAACTAAATTACTGCTGCACCGTGTAACTTTTCTGGTGGAAGATTCAGGGTCTGTTTACATGAAAACTTTTTACTTGCAGGTAAAAACGACACAATATTTTATCAGAAGCGCCTTTTGTTTAGACGGTGACCCGAAAACCCTCGTCTGAACGCGGAATAAAAAGTGAAGACGCGACGCCACTTTTGCATCTTCTGTTCAGACCATCATATAAACGCAGCCTTAGTGTAGGTGTTTTTTATGGAGTAAGAAAGCTGTCAAAAATATTCGTGCGCATAAAATAGAAATCCGTGCGTATTTGGCTGTAGTTGCGCATAAAATAAATATTTGTAAACTCTCAAATGAGTCCAGTCGTACATAAAATATATTGTGTGTATTTTATCCATCAGAATACGAATTGAAAAATTACGACGTCATGAATTACAATCACGAAATGAAAATTTACGATTACGCTTTCATCAGTACGAATACGAATTCACAGACGGAACTTTACTGTCAAAAATACGTCATCACTTCACAGACATTATCCATCGAGCAGAAGAAACATCGATCAAGATCAAGACTGCGCAGCTCAAGTTTGTAGCAGAGGGTAAAAACAGAGTAAAAGCACAAGAAGCTACAACAGAACAACAAGTGGGTTCATTAAAATCTATTGTAAAAACGTCTTGAATTGGGGAACCGAACGCTGCTGTATAATATTGTGTAGAAACACCTCCTTTGAACGGGAAATTGCACCTATATGTTAGAAAACATAGTGGAGCCAGTTGGTAACATCCGACGTAACGTTATCCCAGGGCTAATTAGCAAATATCAGGTTCTCTGTAGGTTTAGATTAAAACATTCACGGCTACAGCCACAGCGAGCATCAGTCAGTCTTCACTTCAGCTGCATTTCTCGCAGCTGAGATGAAGACTGACTGATGCTGTTTTTACTCTGCTACAAACTTGAGCTGCGCAGTCTTGATCTTGATCGATGTTTCTTCTGCTCGATGAATAATGTCTGTGAAGTGATGACGTATTTTTGACAGTAAAGTTCCGTCTGTGAATTCGTATTCGTACTGATGAAAGCGTAATCGTAAATTTTCATTTCGTGATTGTAATTCATGACGTCGTAACTTTTCAATTCGTATTCTGATGGATAAAATACACACAATATATTTTATGTACGACTGGACTCATTTGAGAGTTTACAAATATTTATTTTATGCGCAACTACAGCCAAATACGCACGGATTTCTATTTTATGCGCACGAATATTTTTGACAGCTTTCTTACTCCATAAAAAACACCTACACTAAGGCTGCGTTTATATGATGATGGTCTGAACAGAAGATGCAAAAGTGGCGTCGCGTCTTCACTTTTTATTCCGCGTTCAGACGAGGGTTTTCGGGTCACCGTCTAAACAAAAGGCGCTTCTGATAAAATATTGTGTCGTTTTTACCTGCAAGTAAAAAGTTTTCATGTAAACAGACCCTGAATCTTCCACCAGAAAAGTTACACGGTGCAGCAGTAATTTAGTTTCAGTCTCACTTACACTGAACATGTATCTTGTATGAAACAGGTTAAGGTAATATCATATAAAACCTTCCACCCAGAGAAACCCACTTGTCATAATATTTGACGCTGAGTTCTGTATTGTGCTTATTTTTCCTCCTTATGCAACAAATTTAATATAAACACACACTACACTTCACAACACAAGTCTATATTACCTCTCCTCTCTATACAGCGAAGATAAAACACCCGAACTGCAACCTTACCTCACTGACAATTTCCTCTCATTTCTCAGCGCCTTTTAGCTCGAGCAGATACACTGACAGGAGACGTTTTAAGGCCTATATTTATGTGTTTTCCTGTACTTTTACAAAACCTAAAACTGTGAATCCGGGTGAGAAAGGGCCCGTCTCCGCTCCGGTGGCTCTCTCCAGGTCGCAATAATAAATTGTTTGTGGCTCAAACCTCGGCGGACCAGACGCTTAAAAGCAAAGAGTCACTCCAATGACTGC